GATTAAATATGTTTATGATTATATGTAGTGTTCTTGATCATCATCTATTTGTACATTCATAAACTATGAATGAATACGTCTATTCAACTGTTCTTGGAATTCCATTTAAATCTCTTTCAAATTTTGACATTTGTGTTGGACATAAAAAACACGAAATTATTCTATTGGTACATACATTTGTTGTTTAAAATTTCGCTTTAATATATTATTTATAGAATTTCATGAAACATAGCATACCCGTCTAAATTCAAGCCTGGCTACAGGGGTTTTCAAAAGGGAACATCACGAAAAAAGGTTAATCTGAATATAAACGTTTTGATTATATCAAGATTGGTTGTCTATCTTACATCGCTAATAAGTGTTTATTCCTATAGTGGTACGAGGTACTTTATTCAAGGTCTTTCTTCAAAAGCATTTGATAGGTACCGCAATCTAAATACTTATACTTATATGGATCTTACTTACTTACTACTTAATATACATGGATCCTATATAATCTTTGCACTTTCAGCAATATAGAGAAGCAATTTCCAGTAGCCAATAATCTGCAGCTTCCACTTAGCTCGAGAAATGGAAATTGTGAGGTTCGTTTGTTGTTGGTATTTACATTTTCCTACGCCTTATTGTACATAAGTTTAACAAAATGCACACAAATAAAATTGCAAATATTTGATTTATTAATTCTCTGATTTCTCTTTTTGAAATAACGTTTAATATAATGGGGGGTTTTCTTTTACAGAGGGTATGTCAATCTAGAAAGATGTGGCTGATTATGATGCCATTTAATCTTCCTTGGCCATCACCCATCCAGAGATGCTAATTTTACAATCTCTGCTCCAATTTCAGAAGTGGTGCGGTTCTTTTGGTGTTAAGGGACTGCCTCGTCCGAACTCATTGATTTGTGTTGTCCAGCACCCGAAAGAAACTATTGGCAAATCAATTCCTGCCTTGTCAGTAGGGATGAGTGCAGTAGTCCCGTCCCTGGCCAGCTCATCTGCGATGCTCGTTCCCTCAATGTTCAGTTGTCCCGGAACCCATATGAGGCTTAGACAGACCTACTTCATGTGATATCCCGTCCAGAAATAAATGTCGGTCTTCTGCTTATACTTGTAGTAGTTGCGAGGCCTTCTGGGAAGGAATTCTATCCCCAGGTCCACTTACTTCTGGCAAAGTATGTTTTGCGGAAAAAGTACATGGAATTGAGTTTTTTCTGAAAAATAACATGATTATTAACCGAAAAATTGTTTAATATGACTTTATTGAATATAAAAAGGGAAATCAATGCGGCATCTCTAGTACGAGTAGGCAGAGCCACTTAAGCCCCTCGACACCTTTCACGCTCGCCTACAAGTATAAAATCTGCCAACGCTGGAAATGCCAATAGAGTCGATGTCATAAATTATAATGGCACATTAACCGTACGTACTGTTTGTTTATATCTTGAAAATAAAAGGAGAAAAAACTGCAAAACAATGCACAATATAGACTTAAAAAGTTTTTCGCTTTTCGATTTTCCAGGAAAAGCATGAAACGCTGAGCGCGCAGAGGCCATGAATTATGCTGTGGTTATTTATCGATAAACTGGTGCGCCGTCGAGCCGCGGACCCCACAAGGAGTATGCTGCTCTGAGATATACGACCGCACGCCAACACACGCCCCCTGCCCAACGCCCCCAAACACGCCCGTCCGCACGACCAAAAAAGGCGACGGCCTCGACGACCAAAAGAAAACAATTCATATTTTCTCCTCATTGAGGCCGGCAGTGCAGTTTTTCGTTTCGGGCTTTTCCGCCGTTTCTTTGCCGCTGTCGCTGCCGCTGCTGTTGTTGTTGTTGTTGTTGGTGCTGTTATTATTGTTGGTTTTAGAGTGCAGATTTTTGCAAGTTTTTCATAATTTGTTGCAGGTCATGGCGATGGTGACGGCAACTGTAGGCCCTGGGTTTTGCTTTGGCTGGCTGACTGCCTGGTTGGCGGTAATCGAGCATACAAGCGCATTAAACACCAGACAATTATGTTGCGGCAACATTGTTGCAGTGAAGCGGGCCCAGGCAGCTTGCCCCGTGCATTAGATGGGTTGCATGCGCAATTTAAATTTAGTCAGCTGGAAAATTTTATGTGCAAACTCATGGAAAGCAGCGCCCAATCTGTGACTCTAAAGTGAATTCCTCTCACAAAGAATGCTAGAGAGGAACGATCAAGGAAGCGGGACATCAGAATTATAGAAATAACTTGTCCATCTGTTGAGTTGCGATAATTGCCCCTCCAGAGACAACCCAAGTGGCCATAGTAAGTATTATAATACTTACTATAATTTCTTAATGAAAATGAATAGAAAAACTCTTCTTCGACTTGGAAAAAAAGAAAAGGATAACATTTACTAGATTGTTGTTTCTTTGTTTGTTTCTGATTCTCCAGATGATAGATGGGGATGTCGAGTAGAACGATTCATCCGTCTGACCACATAACTACTTGTATGACAAGTCGTCAAAGTTTCTTAAAGTCTGAAGACCGTACAGCCCGAAATCCATAGGCACACCAGCCGATTAAATAATGGCTCCTAAAACAGTTACTTACATGATATATATACAAGTATTTCAAGTGTAATCCTTTATATGTATCTCAAAGTTTGTAATAATAATAACTAACAAACTAACACAACAAGAATCGATCTCTTTATATATGAATGTGATCCGTCTTTATAATTATGTAATTGTGTTGTTGAACTGAAACCCGCTGTGTAGTTGTACAAATATTTGCGTGCCTGTTGAAAAATGTCAATTAAAATGACGAGAAATAGCGCATAACGCCACTCCCGCCCCCACCTCGAACCGCACCCTTAACACGGACCCCACACTGCAGCCACTCTGCGACGGTGACGTCGACGTCGACGGCGACTGCGACTCCTACCCCCGAGATAATCAAAAACCAATATCAGAGCTGATTTCCAGCGCTGATGTTGCGGCATCATTTGATATTCATGAGCAATGCCATGGTCGGGGTTGAAGTTAAGTTCGGAGGACTGGGCGGGCCCGCCATAGAGAGCAACGGTCACGTCCTCCGAAGCTGCAATGCAAATTTAAATAAATGCGAGAGATGTCCCCCCGTTTATACGTATTTTGTTCATTTTTTTCTTTCTGTTGCCTTTTGTTTTTGTTTTGAGCAGTCCATTAGCGCGTCCAAGTAGCGCGTGGAATAATCACCTTGTTTGTCGGGCGGAACACCTTTAATGGGCAGCGGGTGGCTGCGGGCGGCTGCGGGCGAAGGCTCCCATTTTGTCCGGCCATTACGGGAGATAATCATTGTCGTCTGCGCTCGCACCATCAACGGCATCAAATAAACGTAATTCAATGCTCATAATGACAACATTTCCATTTGACTTCTGCTCCCACAGAACTTGAGCCTTAAAGCGCCAAATTTGTCGCCTTTAATTTTATGGTCGCTGCTGCGGCTGCGGCTGCTGGTTGCTTTTGCTGGTTACTGTTTGCATATGGCCAATTGCTCGCCCAGGCTGTTACCAAAATCTGTGTAGATTTTGTGGCCGGTATTTTCTGCTTACGGTGCGAACGTCTAAGGGGCTAGGCTAGATGTGCCAATGCCAATATTGAACGATTTAAAGTAAAATTTAAATTTAAGAATTCATTCTTGTTAATGTAAATGAATTTCTCCAACTTTCAGTCATAAAGTCCGGTAAAGTTTGATTTGTAATCACATTTGTATTAACAGCAAGCTGGTCTGCTTGGCCACAACAACTATTGACACCCTACTTGACCGATGGACTTCTCCCTCTTCTTATAGTATCATCATTGGTTCATTTTTTGTGTCAAACTATTTCATCAATGTTTTACATAGCAACCAACATCGGTCCTAAAATCATTCCTGGTAAAATATAGTGATTTTTTGCAGCTATTGCTTATCTAATTTCGGCTGGTAAGCTTCGGACTCGAATAATATATTTGAAATTAAAAAGATGACAATGTAGGCACTAAATAAGTCTCGTATATTTCCAATGAAGTCGACAAATAGTACTTAGTGTGTCTGGGGTAGTTATTAATTGTGGAGGATTTAAACTTGAGTTGGAATCTTACTTTCCAAGGTAGTTGTGGAAATCTTTATTTTTATTGCATTTTTATAATTTTATAATTACTTTATAATTACTGTTGAGTCAGTAATTTGTAAGCACCTTACTCGAAACATTTGAATGGTTTGTTTACAGGGGCTTAGGCTTAAATACTTGTAGGTTACCCCACTTTCTATTTATTTTTGTAGCACACTTGACGGCTGATGCCTTCAGTTCGCTCTCAACTCTTTACTATATTTTTGAAGCGAATATGCGTTTGCAGAACTCACAAAAGCGAACTCTCCATTTTGGTGATTTAATAGAACTTTATTTTATTGTTTTGACCGTTACAAATATGGCGGAACTCGTTTTAAATCGATAACTACAACTACGAACATACAACTAGATATCATGAGAAATTATGAAGTACGGATGAAATACAGTATATATAGTAGTATAATCAAAGTTAAACTTATGCTAAGTTATGTTGACTTTTAGGTGAAGGTGTATTGTGTGGGATTTAAAATATTGTTTTCGAGGAGTTATTGATGCGAAGTCTGATATGAAATCGGTTTTAATGCGCGCGATTTTGCACCAATTCAGGCATAACAAGGCCGCAGCTCGACACAGTTCCGCGTACACTCGCACACACACACACACACTCACACACAAACAAACGTAGACACACAACTAAATCGTTACACATACGACCCGTATGCACGCTAGTTGCCCAACACGCTCTCTCACCCCCATCCCCTTATCCCCCATTTGCCGTTTGTCACTCACCAACCAAGCACCCAAACAACCAAACCACCCACCCACCCACCTGCCGTCACTGTCACTGTCTCGCCTTCTTCCTTCCCCTGCCTCACTCCTTTGTCGTTGCACGCGCCGTGGCCTCCACTCGAGTGCAGCTGAGTGTTATGTAACTACTTAAAGGACTTTATCATTTTGCGTATTTTCGTATTTGAGTTTTGATTTTCGTGCTTCTCTCCAAAACGTCTTGCCAGACCGGACCGGACCAGAGCAAGCCTCCTCCTTTAGAGTGGTGTGGAGGAAGGGAGTAGCGTCCACATCTGGCTCTGCAACTGCATCCAGCGCCATCTTAGAGCAGGTAGCATTTCCGGCGCCAACAGGAGCATGTGCAGTGCACGTGTCTGTAGTAGCGACACAGGCACTTCAGATACTTGTAGCCTGCGCAGCAGTGATGGGAATGGGTGTGATAATGACTGTGGGAGTAACAGGTCGAGTCGTGCAGACAATACGAATAGCAGCCGCAATCGCACATCTTGTCAGCCTCTCACACGGGATCCAGTCGAGTCTCAAATGAACTTCTCCCTGCTCGAATCAGTTTCTCCAGGATATTCTTCTCCCGATGCCGTACGAGTATGCCCCGTCCAAGCGCCTCGAAGTCTCAGGCTGAACTGATTTGCGACGTGCACTCGAACTTTCAACTTAGGTTAGGTTAGTGGCGGCTTTTGTCCTCGAAAGTAGCTCAGATTGCCATGGCATCGGAGTTTGATCGATTCTATGGATTTGCGTATTTAGGTGAGGCACCCCTTTGGCACAGTCTGGGGCTGGATCACCTCAGCAGGTACCGCTTTTCGCTTTTTACTTTTCTAGTTTGCTGCCCGACTTCCAACATGCCAAGCAAATATGCATAAACCTAGGCCATTGTTATGGATGTTGTTGTGTCTGTTGTTAGCGCAGCGGTTCTGATATTGCACTGAGAATAAGTTTCGATATCATAAAGCACGCGACGCATAGGGCTTTTCGCTTTGGCCCAAACTCTTAGAAGTAATGATAAATTTTTGAATGAAGAAAATAAGTTTTGTATATGCACTTGTATAGGCACTTGAAACTGTACTATACAATTAGTTTAAAATGTACCTTAAATCATTTCCCAATGGAGGTATATGTCAAGTAGGTGTATTAATCAGTTATTCATCATTGAAGATGGATTCAATATTGATCTGTATTTTCAATTGCGTATAATCTGTTTTTACGCTTTCTTTAAGTGTATTTTAAATCTAAATTGATCTTCCTAGGTATAGCATCTGCAAAGTATAATGCAAAGAGACTTTACTATTTTAGACTCAATTCTATTCCAATTCTATGAAATGTATTTTTTTGAGTGTAGCTGCGAAATGTGTCAATTGATTTGTGAGCGAGGATAGAAGCTATGAATTTTCATCACGGAACATATTTTCCCGCTTGTTCGCCGAGCTATTTCAGCCTGGCACTCGCTCGCTCTCCGTCTATGATTAATTCACAATGTTGTCGCTGATTTTATGACTGAAATATTTGTCTACCTATAGCTCTGGCTCTGTGCTGGTGTTGTCTCTGCCTAAAATAGTCTTTGGCAAAAGCAAATGCAAATTCATGCCTGACCCACTTTCGGCGCACATTTGTTTACGAATTTAATTCCATTAGTCACAGCAGCTGCACGGCATAGACCGAATATTCGGATCCAAATACTTGTACAATCGTTGTCAGCTGTGGTTCTCGCTTTGGCTGCAGCGCCAACTGCAGCGCCAACTGCGACGCTCACTGCGTCGTGGTCGTCGTGTCCGTGTCCGGGTCCGTGTCCGATCATCGGATTCATGATGCAACCGATGGCCTGCTGCGCTGACCGCGCACAGAATCGATGACACATGCAATGACGCATTCTCGATTGTAGGCTTATTCTGGTCTCTATAATAGGCGCGTGCGACTTCGAGTATGCACTGACGTCATCCAGCGATCATATGCTGTGTGCATACGTCATTCTATTGCCATTGCTCGCAGCGATCATTGGGCCATGAACATGTTTTGTGTCAGCAAATTTTAAGGTGGATCCAATATCTCTACGAGTATAAGAAAATGGTCTGTGTCAGTCTAATAGTCTAAAATTGTTGAAAAAGTAATGCTGACTGAAAATAGGATACCATTATATACTAGTATATTCTAAAATGGTATTGTATATTCTATAGTATATTCTAAAACTATATGGCTCTGTGAATAGTATACTGAACTAATAACCTCTTCATACACAGCAATTTCTTGCACTTGCAACTCTTATAAGAAGAATAGAAAGATCCGATTTTACGATTATGTAATATCATGAGTGCATTGACCTTTCACCGAACTACAAGTATGCCCTATTTAGCCCTTTATAGACAATGTGCAACGTATATCCACAGTCCATCTTGGAATGCTTTATGATTCCAATTTGAACTGCAGTCTTCACATCTCTTTAAACAGTAAACAATGCTGAGGGTATACTTGGATTTATTAGGTGTTGGTCCAGGAATTTGATGACCCTAGAAATTTAAAGTATCTATTCACTTCTCTATTGCGTCCTGTTCTTGAATAGTACCTTTGTGTGTATAAATCATCAGTAAGTTTTGCTTTCCTTGGCTTAAGATGGGATGCCAGCCTTCACTTGCCTTTGGGGAATTATTTACCATTTATTTTGTCTAGATGCACAGCTGAATTTTCTTTAAACAATTTTGTGTAGATTCTTCTTTATTTTCAACAGTATTCTCTCTTACTATCTCTCTTCCTCTTTCTACTGCTTAACCATGTTTCTCTAAAAACATCCATATATTTTTTAGCCTAATAATAAGTAAATGCAAAACGGCAGTACTATTAGAAATAATAACTTAAATTTGTTTTTAAAATTGTCATATGATATTTTTTCATAAAAACTGCCAATATCATTGGGTTGAGTTGTCCCAAAAAGGAAAAGGCGTTAGTAATAATATTTTTATAAAAATATACATGTAAATTATACATTTTTCTTATGGATGGACTATTGTCATAATTTGTTTATGACTGCAAAACTTTTTTTTCACTTGACTACTTACTCTATGACTTAAACAAAATTTTTATGATCGAAATATCTTAAATAAAGACTCGAAAAGAAAACTTATAAATACCAAATTCGTCTAAGTATCTTCAAAAACAAAAAGTATAACCCACTAGAATTTATTTTTCCTTGATTTTTGTATCGATAAGTCAAGCCTAGACACTAAGATTGTTATCCGCAGATATTACTGCTTAAAAGTTCTGTGGATGGACAGAGATGCATGTGTGTATCGAGTGTTTCGAATTATGCCGTCATGCTGACCATATATGTACTATAGTATAGCCTATGCAATGAAGTCTGCTTTAACTACTTCTGCCTGTTTCAGAAACTTTGAGATTACCCTTCAAAGGGAACCCTTTAAATCTTCTACCACGACATATATTTTGTTCAATATGAAGAGTGTTAAATGTAACATAACAAAGTTTCGAGCTTTATCATCGTGCTTTACATTGTATTATAAATAGTGCTCTCTCTGGCTCATTGTGTCACATGTTTGTAATAAATAGTCGACATTTATGGGACAACGCATAAAGAACAGATAGTGATGTTTTTTCCAACGAAACAATTTAAAACAATTTTAAATATACTTTATCATGGCGCAAAGTTCTTGTTCTGGTCCGTCATTTTGGCAGGGAACATTTTTCGCAAATGTTTCCAGCAATTTTCGCGATACAAATACAAATGCAAGTGTACACATTTATTTGTATCTGCAAAAGTACGTATGTATTTATGTGTGTGGTTGTGTGTGTGTGTGTGTGTGTGCGTGTTTATGTGTGTGTCACCACACTCGACTTCTTTTATAAACAAGTCATTTCAATTTGGCCTGTGAAAGGCGTCACTGACACTTAAATTAAATTTGTTTTCAGTTCGTTGGCAAAAGTCAAGCGACACTTTGGGCGAAAGCAGCGCAACGAAACGAAACGACAGCGAAGGAGACGGCAACAACAACAACAACAACAGCAGCAACAGAATAACAACAGCAAAACGCAAAACACACCAAAACCCAAAAATGCATTTTGCAATCAAATAAATTAAAACGAAAGCAAAGCAAATTGTACTGAAGTTGCCGAAACTGAAAACTGAACAAAGCGACCGACAGCGATCCCAAAGTGAAAAGACAAACCGAAACGCCTTTGCATTTGACTCCACCCTCCTCCTCCCTTCCCCACCCCTCAGCCTTCACCATCTCCAGCTCCAGCTCCAGTACCTTTTACATCGTCTTGCCCCGCACTGCCTCTGGCTCTGCCTAGACCCTCTGTGTGAACCTTGACGCCCCCTGACAGACAACGGGGCCGCCTCTGCTGCGGGCGTTGCATGGCACAGTGGGTAAATATTTGGGAAACTCTGATCTGATATTAATCATGTTTAATTAAAGCACATCAGTTCAATTTTATTTATTCAAACTTAATTCAGGTGCTAAACGTGAAATAAATTGTTCAGAACGAGAGATAGTCAATGGAATTTTAGTTCACTCCCACACATACTCTATCGAAAAACAAGAGAGAGAACAAAGTTTAGATCTGTTCAAAGGATTTATTAAAAGCAACTCTTCTGGTTGTCATGGAATATAGCTTATATATAATAAGCAGCCACAGTAAAAAGTATTATTACAACGAACTTTCTTCAGTTATGGAACTGAATTCAGGAATAGGGGGAGAAGCAAGAAATTTAAAATTTGGCTAAATAATGCACGATGCGTTTGAATAATAATTTATGCACATGAGAGATCAGATCCATTTTAATGCGAAATAGTAGTAATGAATGTTGCGAACTTTTTTTTACGCCCTTGATGTCTAGTTTATATAGTATAGTGTCCTTATGGGTACTAATTTCTATTGGATTCTTTGTTTCTGTAAAGTAGTTCAGTTATTTGTTCATAAACCATTATATGTATATTTTTGATGTCAACGTTTATATCGTCGTTCTGTTTTTCCAAAAATACTGTTCAGATAAACATTTAAGAAGTTACAAAAATGAATTAACGCAACATAATGCTTAATATTAATAATACATACAAGTGAGATGACCAATTTGTGCTTCGAAAAACGATAAAAATTTGTGAAAGGATTCGAGTCAATCTTGCCCAGCAGAGTCCTTTATTTATTTGTCATCTCTTCCGACTCTTTTATACCCTGCTCCCACTCTTTTTCATGCCGCATTCGCTTTGTTGCTCTTTCCTAATTTCCATTGAACTGTTTCAAGATGAACCCTTTAAGAAAACCTAAGCTTAACCAAATTTCTTGTGATAAATAAAGAATATATTTAACTAAGAGCGATTTTAGCACCGTTTGTTACTGTGTTGGGCATATGACCGATTGCAGCGTTGTGGAAACATTTTAAAAAGTGTTAACTACCGAATTCAGTTGCAACATTATACGAAACAAAACATTTTCTTTTAAATATGAATATACAAGTAAATTTTCCATTCCATTCCGATCCATTGCGCCACAGCCTGGTATCTGCCACATTCCGTTTTGTATGCGGTATATACAAATTACGAAATGTGCGTTGGGTTACTCTTTTTAAGCGAAAAAATTA